GGTATTGATAAACGATTTGACCAGCTCATATATTTACTCAAATGCCCTCCTTCGTGACTCTCACGAACACTCCATAAAAGCACAGCCGAAAAGATTAAACAGATAATGTCACCAAATAAATACGTAGAAAACTTGGAGAAGAAGAAAAAAAGGAAAAAGGAAAAAGAAAAGAAGAAAAGGAGAGAGAGAGAGAGGTGAAGGGGAGTTTCTTGTGGCTGAAAAGAAAAAGAAACAGTAAGTGCGGATCTCCCCTTTACATAGTTAGGAGAGCCACATAACCCATACATCTCTATTAGCTGCAGTTTTTGATACCTATATTGACTCTTCTGTCTCCTACTATATATACATATTTCTCTTTCTTTGTTCTCAGAATTCAATCCCAGAAAGTGAAATCAACAAGCTGTAAATTTCTCTGTCAATCTTCCCCTATTTGAAATCCAAAAGATTTCTGTCAAATTATATGTCTGTTCAAAACTTTCGTTTGCATTCATTCAATCTTAGCTGGGAGTTGCTACTTTCTTCGAAGTTCCAATTTTCTCTATCAAGAAAGTGAGGAAAAAAATATCAAGAATTTCCTCCCCTGAGTTATGAATCTCCTCTTTCGTCATCTCGTTATAGGATGATTACTGCTGCTCGTGAACTACTTATCATCAATTTGGAAGTGTTTTCTTGGAAATTTATATCTCAAAATCTTCGCTGTTTAAGAAATCATACCTATCTTTTTTTATTTCCACGCGTTCCCATTGTTGTTTGTATATTACTACGTCCAACTTCTTGATTTTCAATTATAGGCAGCTGCCCAGTTTTATATAAATTTTGATTTTTCTCACATGTTGTACCTTATATGTATTTGCATATTACAGAATCCAATTACAGCTTCAAGCTAAGTTAAACTCCAGAGCTTTGAGGATCAGGACATTATGGAGATTTCTGCTTACAAACCCTATGGTGATCCTGAGTTCGAATCACTCATTGAAAGAATTCACCCTCCCAGGTTACAACAGTCTTAATAATGTTTACACCGGTTCACATAATATCGATAAACAATTGTTACTTAATTAAGACACATTATCACTTCAATTTATCACTTAATCATAGTAAACTAAATTAATTTGGTGTAAACACTTGAAGTACATACATATGTTTTTATCATGCTTTAATTTCGTATAGAAGGGAAGCTTATTTGTTTCTTGTTTGTTGGCTTTTCAGAGTGTGCATTGATAATGATTCCTGCCGAGACTGCACTATAGTGAAGGTAAGTAAAGATTAAAGAAGAATATTTTGCTATTATTCTCTCTGTAATCTGTTCCATTTTAATTGGAAAACTTCTATCATTGGTTATTCGAAAGGATGATAATACCAATTGATGTGTTAGATAATGACTTGGTTTGCGTTGTTTTGGCATGAGTGGGGGTACCTACCACTTAAATGGGTTCCATCAGATATTCGAAAAGAACTAATTAAAGAACCCCTACCGTACAAGAGTATCAGCGTATAAACCTGCGTTAGCATCATTTTATAGTTGTAATTATTTAAGTTAGGCGATAAGTTTATATATTTTTCTTAAGATTAAACCATGTGCGGATATAGTTGAACAATTTTTTTAAATTTTTCATTGTCCCAGAATAGTAGCGAGTATTGGACCCTTCTCTAGATTAAGGGGATCCCATAGGTTCCGTCTTACCAGGACTGAGACGTATTCGTTGTTGTTTGTGACATGTGTGTCACAGGTTGATAGTGCGAACAAACACGGTATATTGCTGGAGATGGTTCAAGTTCTAACTGATCTCGACCTTGTGATTTCAAAATCATACATATGCTCTGATGGTGGCTGGTTAATGGATGGTTAGTTCTCCTTTTCTCTATACCTTTCTCATCTCACCAATTTGCTTAAACATCTTTCCCAACAGCAAATCAAGAATGAATCAACAGCTGGTCTGAATATTATAATCCAATATAGAAATGCAACTAACAACTTTCTGAGTCATCCACAACTATAAGATTTGTTTTTTCTTGCTTCTTTACCAGTTTTCCACGTGACTGACCAACTTGGGAACAAAATTACTGACGAAAGCCTCATCCACTATATCGAAGAGGTTAGTCTATACTTTCTCTATGCTTCAGTCACTTAAATTAAGTATTTCAAAAACCATTTAGTGGGTTTTAGGGATAAGGCCAACAAAGCAGTTAATTTGCTCAATTTTCCCTCCTCTTGCTCTTTACTCGTTTCATTTTTTTTAAAAGAAATTGCTGAGCAAAGAAGTATGCTGGCAACTGTTGTCCAAAAGTATAGTATATTGTTTTTCTTTCAAATTAACATTTAACTAAAACAAGCTTAGTGTTTGACAGGCTATTTGTGCTAGTAGAAGAGGTTCCAGGGAAGTCCAAACATGTGTTGATAGAAATGTAAGAGCAAGGCATGTTTCAATGGAGCACATGGCCATGGAGATGACGGGGATAGATAGACCCGGACTAATGTCTGAGATATCTGCTGTGTTGGCCGAGTTGGGTTGCCACGTGTCTGCTGCCGTGGCATGGACACATAACAAGCGAGCAGCATGCATTGTCTACGTGGAAGATGAACTGAAGCATGGGCCAATCCAGGACCCCTATCGCGTGGCACAAGTACAGGCCCAACTGGAGAATGTTGTAGAGGCCCACCATTATGATGGGGAGCGACGGAGTGTGAGGCTCGCAGCACCTGCAGCTAGCCAAACTCATACTGAAAGGCGGCTCCACCAATTGATGGCTGCTGACAGAGACTATGAGCAATGTTGTTCCTGTGATTATGAGTCGAGTGCAGATGATGAAGTATATAGGCAGAAAAAGGGATGTAATGGTACAGAAGTAAAGGTTGAAAATTGTAGGCAGAAAGGCTATTCTATAGTTACTGTGAGGAGTGTAGACAGACCCAAATTACTATTTGACACTATCTGTACCCTAACAGACTTGCAATATGTCGTATTCCACGCCTCCATCAGCTCTTTTGAATCCATTGCCATTCAGGTAAAATCTATTACTTTTGCCTAACTGCTCCTTAAAGTCCTAGAGGTTCTGCGCCAGACAGGACGGTCTTCATGCTTTGTTTCTAACATTTCTATGTATGCATGTAAATCTCAGGAATACTATGTGAGACACAAGAATGGATGGACTTTGGATTCAGAAAGTGAAAGACGTAGGCTGACCCAAAATCTGATGGCTGCCACTGAGAGGAGAGTATCCCATGTAAGTTTCAAAGGATTGACTAACACAACATTTACAGTATATTTTCTCAATTCAACTTCCCTACTGCCCTAGAGAAAGGTACTCACAATTTGAAGTGACTTATGATTTGTACAGGGATTGAGGCTGGATGTTAGTACTCAAAACAGGGTAGGATTGTTATCAGACGTTACAAGAGTGTTTCGGGAGAACGGATTATCCATAAGCAGGGCCGAGATTGGGATACAAGGCGAAAAAGCAGTTGGCACGTTCTATGTAAAAGATGCTTCAGGACAAGCTGTTAACCCAGAAACCTTGGAGACAGTACGAAGAGAAATTGGAGGCACTGTCCTGGTGGTAAATAAATCCTTAGGAAAATCAACTTCTCAACCCACTTCTTCATCAAATACAAGCCCTAGCGTAAGCACTAGCCACAGCAGCAGCAAGCAAGACAAACCTGGTTTCTCGCTAGGAAGCTTGTTGTGGTCTCAGGTTGAGTGGCTTTCTAGCAATTTCAGACCTATAAAATCCTAAGATTCCAACCGGTGATCTGGAGATGCTTGTGTGTGTTGGCCATCTTATTTTGTAAATACATAGCATCATCCCTCTGTAAATAATTAGCAACACTTGTAAATAATGATAGACACACGATACCATGTACATAGCTTTGGAGCATAAAACAAGTGCAAGTTCTGAAGTTCAACCAGTGGTGTCTCTATCAACTGCTCCCTCCCTCTTCTAACAGTTGAGTCAACCCCGCCAATTTTCAACAGATTCTGAATTGGGCACTGAAAAAAGGGAAAGCGACATTCCATAAATTTCATTTACCACCTGGCTTAAGCATTAGGACTACTCTAATCAGTGGACTTAAGTAACTGGTCTCACTAAGCTGGAGGTGACACCTTAACTAAACAAGGGAAGAAGGTCAGACTCATTAAACGACTTTTTGATGATTACACGGGTCAATTAACTTTGATTAAACTTAGGGGTGTCAAATGGGCGGGTTGGGTCAATTTTGGGCGGGTCAAAATGGGTTGCGTCAATTGACCCGCCCAAAAGTTACTTGGGCTAAAATGGGTTGGGTCAAGATGGGTTAAAATTCTGGTCATAACCCAACCCACCCAACTCTTATTAAACTTTAATTAAAATATGTGTTACTTTCTTATACATTGTATAATTACTAAATAAGGCTTTTTTGCTTTTGTTATGGTCATATTTAAAATATTAATCAAAAAATAAAATTATTTCTAAGATATTTTGACAAACTTACTCATGGATCAATTTGGGCTAAAAATTAGCCCAACTTTAAATGGGTTGAGATGGGTTGGGTCAAGATGAGCTAAGTTCAATAAATGGACGGGTCAATAACTAACCCAACCTTGGGCGGGTTGGGGGGGTCATTTGGGCTTGGGCCAAATTTGACAGCCCTAATTAAACTTCACAATCAAATTTGGAATTATCTCCTTTGAATAATGCTCATATAGTGAAACAAGTAGGAAGACACCATCAGAATTCTGGTAGACACCTCATCAGCATTTAATATCACAAAAACTGTCTTGCAAGCCTCGAAGACATCTGCTAACAAGGACTAACATATGTGTAGTTGATATGCAGCAAGTACACATATAGTTAGTAAGTTATAGGAAGAGAGTATTGTAAAGAGCTTAATTGTTTTTTTGTCATTCAAATGGGCATGTCCATTCTGCCTTAATGGAGTATTATGCAGAAGCACAAACTCAACTTTCTTGTTGTAATTTTCTCTTGTTATACATAAATGGCATTGCCACCATATGGCAGAATCAATTTAAAAAGAAAACTGCATAAGTGTAATAATGGGAGCAACCCAATTGTTATTCATTATGCGTTCTATGTACAAACATATAGCTGAGAATTCTTAGCGCAGAGCGGAGAAAGGAGGATAGGGAACAACTATTCACAACAATAAATGAGCGGAAATAACTATATTTAAACCTTACATAAGGTCATGCCACCTCAATGTCATCAATATCCAGCCAATCATTTGATTCTTTGCTATCAGGATTCTGCACATTTTCCTTAACAGAACCACTATGATTCACAGAGCTGATACCACTGGAGCTTTTCCTCAACTGGACCCAATCTCGTGAGTCCTTATCAGAACTGTAATTTACTTTCTTTGAATTTGCGGGCACATCTGAATCATCCTCTTCAAGATCACTGAAGGACACATCCTCATCATTCTCAATGGACATGCCCGTTTTACTAGTACCCATAATTTCTGTGCTTTCTTCCTTTAACCAATCATCAGCATCCTCTTCATCACTCTCCTCTAACTTTATAACCGATGCAGATTGCAGATTTTCATCTTTGCTATTGGTAATAGGTCCTTCAACCACGAGTTTATCAACAGTTTGATTTTCACTAATGACAGGGCGCACATCCTTACCAGAGCCGGAAACTGTAGGTGAAGTGGAAGATTCCACACTAGGCATCTCTTGAACCACATCCGTAGAAACAGCAGTGGACGGGACAGCAAGCATCTCCTCATGTTGAGAGCCACTCCTGTCAGTTGATTCAGAAGTTCCCTTTTTTGACCAATCTTCTTCTATTGGCTTGGTTCGCTTATGTAACTCGTGTGCCAATGAGGCCCTGGCTCTGACAACCTACACACAGGATTAGCATTTTTAGCACCAAAGGTTAATAGCAGCCATTCTCGAGTACGAGGAATCAAGGATTAGTTACCATGCACATAGACCACCTTTTAACAAGGGCATGCTCTGATCATATGCTAACTAACCAAGCATGACCAGTCACTCTGCTTCAGTATTGGATTCTTTTTTTTTTAAAATAAGTTTCAGTATTCGATTGTTTTTTTTTTAAAATTAAGTTCAATACTGGAGTCATGCTCATTATATAGATTGACAGGTTATTGTCTCTCCCTCCCTGCTCATTCACAGGCACACTACTGAACAATACACGTTTATGGTACAAATTAGGGGGTCCAGGGGGTAACAAGAAGCCCAAGGCAAATCATAGGATGCTCACCAGAAAAATTTGAACAAAAAGTAATGCATTAAGAAAAGAAGTACAACCTTGAAGCATTCAACAGTCAAAGAGATGAGAGGATAGAGGAGCATGAGAATTTCCAAGCAGCAAAACAGAAAAGGAGAGGAAAGATTCATGGTGAAAAGAAAGGTATGAAGATGTTTTGACTAGCTCCCATGAATGGCCACAATGGCTTCACATGTACAGTAGTGAAGGCCCAAGAATAGTACTGCATCAGAAATAGGATAAAGAATATCTCTAAGCTCTGATGGCTTGTTCAAATGAAGATGCAATTGTAACAGTAAAAGGAGGTGCAGATTGCGTGCTACAGAAATACTAGCATTGGTTTAACGAGAAATAAGCTAAAAAGCTTCTCACTGGGGAAAAAGCTTTTCTGACCCATACACATCAGGATAACAACTTCCATGCAGGGTAAGACTGCATACAATAGATCCTTGTGGTCCGGCTCTTCCCCGGACCCCGCGCATAGCGGGAGCTTAGTGCACTGGGCTGCCCTTTACACATCAGCATAACAACTTCCATTTACCAAAAAAAAACTGCATAAGAGTTGTTCACCTAGAATCAAAAGAGGCCAGGAATTTCTCTAAACCCCATAATTAATCATGATATGTGGTGTTCTCTCAAATCCCAGATTAACTTTTTCTGTTTAGGATAGTCCCAACTGTGTCTATTATCTCACAAGGATACTTTTCCCTATGCTCCTTAAGACTTATTCAGCATTCGATTACAAATAGTAACACAAGAGCTACATAGTAGACAGAGTCAATTGGTGTCACCAACTAATCATAGATGGTAAGTTATGCATGGAATGGCTTCTACTACCTTTGCAGATAAAGATTGTTTTTCTTGGTAAAAGAAAAAAAACATCACTTCAACAACAACAACAACAACAACAATCCCAGTGTAATCCCACAAGTGGGGTCTGGGGAGGGTAGTGTGTACGCAAACCTTACCCCTACCTTCAAGAAGGCAGAGGGCCTTTTTCCGGTAGACCCTCGGCTTAGGAAAAGTGTAAAAAAATAAATGGAAATGAGAAATGGAACCATTACTGGCATTACATGCAGTGCCTTACCTGGGGCGTGGATAAAAGTTCAGCATCTTGTTTATCCAGTCTAGGGTGAAGAAGAACAAAGTAAATCTCCCAAAAGCGAGCCTCACTCATGTAACCTGGGCAGAGCTCAATCCTCAAAGCGGCCAGTCTTGGAGCAAGGCGTTCAACAGCTAATGCATGCTCTTGTTGTGCATCAGACAAGTCAAAATCTACTGTAAAGGGAAAAACCATAAGATAATTGATGTGAGCTAACTGCTTAATATTCCCTTTAAGTTTACACAACGAAGAGTACACATGATTGACTACACAACAACAACAACACTAGGAGTAGTGATAGCCACATATATGGAAAGAGTTATTGCCATGCATAATAACCAATAGTTTATGAATTAAGGGCTTCAAGATTAGCCAGCAAAGCAAGTCTTCACCTTATCAAAAAAAGATTAGCCAGCAAAGTAGGGAAGCAGAAAACATGCAATTAGAATTTTTAAGAGTAAGAATGTATAATATTTATTTGGCTAGTAGGGTAAACAATTTGAAAGATCGATCCAAAAGTAACAGAACATAGTGAATTGGTGTCATCAACTGACATAAAAACATTAAGTTGTCTGTTGAGTTAAGACTAACCACTCATGTAAATGCGCAGAAAAACTACCTCTTCAAGTCCAAGATAAGAAAATTGAAGTGAGAAAGAGAGTCAGCATATATAATTAAATGTCACGATCATAATGGGGGTATTAATAAAAGTTCAGCGCCTTGTTTAGGGTGAATAAGTACAGATATGACCTAAGTCATTGATAAATAAAAGGGCAGTGATGCAAAAATCCAAAGGGTAACGTTTCATCATGAAATGCACATAAATAAGCATTTCACCATTTGACTGGTGGACATGCAAAAGATATCTGTGCACAACGCTTGCAACTTTTATCCCTCTACTTTCAAGTAATCAAACAACCATTGCATCTTTTACCTCTATTCAAGTTTCGTTTTTCTTTCTAATTCCATTAAGGACTTGATTCCACACAATTTTCATTTGCTAGGACAATGTTTTACCACTAACCAAGAAGGAGTTCAACCTCTCTGATCCCCTAGTTCAAATTTGAAATACCAAATTATCATACAGTACCACATCAATTAACAATCTCTTATGCTATGGTCGAGTTTGCACAACCAACATATATATCAGGAACAGATCAAGGCAGTAGTTTTGGAACCCCAGTATACGGGATCCTGCATTAATCAAATTGAAACCTCAATAAAGCTTCCATCTTTTCTATCTTTCCTGCTGGTACCTAGTAATTGAAATGTTTCAGTTTTAGGCCAGTGTGAATTGATGGGTGATCTTTCGCAAGCTACAAGTCTAATCCGACAGTTTAATTTCATACTATCATATTCGGCTAAGAGAGGGAAGTCTTCTCATGCTCAAGCCATCTTTTCAATCTCCGATTTCTTCTTTCGTTAGCCACCCCCCCCCCCCCCCCGGCCTTAAAAGTAGCACTAGAAGGTTTGATCTAGAGCATTGAAGTGAGTATTAAAATGCAGCGAAAGTATGAAAGGGCAGGTTCAAGTAGAAAATGAAAAAGGGAAAAGACACCTTCGTCGTCTTCGTCGTCGAGCAAAGGGAAATCCAACCAAGTTTCAGGATGCATAGCAATGTCCCTCACAAAAGCTACTACTTCCTCAGTAACACCTACTGCACCTCTACCTTCTTCTTCCTCCTCCTCTGGTCCCAGTTGCAGTAAGTTGGATGCCATTTTGGTAATTTCGGAGACAGGAATATTCTTCGACAGCTTTGATATTCCAGTCTTGAATCTGCCGCCAATTTCAGCAATATCGCTCCGCAAACCCGCGATCCCTGCCGGGTCGGATTCTTCGTCATTCGAATTACGATTCGGTTCTGAATTCGGATCCTCTAAAGGTTTGTAGGGCTCGGATTGAGGCGGTGGGGCCAGGAATGAAGCCACTCCCCAAAATTGACGGGTTAGGGTTTTGGTCAGCTCTGAGATGTCCTCCTTGACGCCGCGTGATGGTGATACTGGCGATGATGAATCATCATCTGTTTGTTGCTTCTCAACAGTGGAGTGATCGTGATTTGGACGTGAAACGACGTCGTTTTCGTCATCGTCGTCGAGTTTGAGTGTGTTGGCGATAGATCGAGCAAACCATGACATTGTAAGATCACGAACCGAGAAATGAGGAAAACTTTCACAGGCCGCCGGCGAAGACTATTTGGTTTGGACAGTTGCGAACTTCGCAATCTACAAGCAAATAATAGAAGAGCTCAAGGACAGATTAGCAAGACTCAATTACGTCGTCGTTTAGTGGCCACCTATACGAGCCCACCTGGCTACTTAGCCAAAAATAATTGGTCTTGCTTCAAAATTATGAAAACCTTGTTTTGAAAAAAGAAAAAATTAATCAAACACTTCATAATTTTAAAGCAGAGTTCGTTTGGATAATAATTGTTAAATTTGGAAAAATGAGTATTTGAGTCGAACTTCATTTAGACATATATTTAACTTGGAAAGAAGGGAATACAAGTTTTGCTAGTGAAAAATGAAAATCATTATGTCAATTGAAATACTCTTCAAATCAGTTTTTTTACTTCAAATACTCTATTCAAGTTGAAGTTAAGATAATGGACAAAATTATAAAACAAATACTAATTGTCTTTTGCATTCTAAAAGAAGTTTCTATTTTATAAATACACCATTTCCTTTTTTACAACTGTGGCTCCAGTTTTTCCTTGGCATGTGGCATTCCCTTATCCAAAACAGCAAATAGAAGGCGATCATTTTCTCTCTTTTTTTCTTTTTCGTTGGTTTTTTTCCCCAAATAAAATGAATCACTAGTCTTTTTTTTTTAATAAACAGGGATAACATATATATATATATATATATATATATATATATATATATATATATATATATATATATATATATATATATATATATGTTAAACTTACGTTAAATTGTCTTTTCCATCATTCAAAAAGGAACAAGCCTTAAGGACATTGGTATTGCGCAAGTCGGCTAACGTACAGCAAACATCAAAACTAATATTCTTGACAAGATAGACAGAGCCCACCCTATCTGGTTCCAGATTATTTATAACAAAAGGGGGTGGTGTAGCTAGCAGTTGATAAGCAGTAGCATGATTGAGTGCATCTCGTGCCAGTTTATGGGCCACTTTGTTCCCTTCCCTGAAGTTATGGCTAATCAACGGCTCCTTCAGCTAGTGCATTAACCACCTGCAAGAGTGGTGGATAGAATTGTGAGGAACAGATTTTGAGTTCAAAAGCTTAATTACCTCAGTTGTGTCAGTCTCCACGACCAAAGGAGTTAGTCCATTTGTTAGTGCTAAGTTGAGGCCTTCCTTGAGAGCCTCCGGTCCAGCCTGTAATGGGGATCAAGATGGTACGTCATTCAATCATTTTGCATAGTTTGTGCAAGCTACTATTACAACAATAACATTTCAGTCCGGAAAGGATAGAATGTACCTTACCCCTAAATAGATACTTCGATTCACTTGTGATGGGTTTTCAATGTCTTAGTCTTATACTTCTTATGTTTTGATGATCTAACAAACTTGTTGTGAAGAACCAGATAGAGAACCTTGCCCACAGGATATACATTTCATGTGAACTGGTCGAAGTCTGAAAATCAGCAAATGGATGAACGACCACAGGGAGGAACACAACAGGGACCTACTCCCTTTGGGTTCTCTGACAGAAGTACAAGTCAAGTACACAACTGGAACGTAGCAGAAGAAAGTAACCATCTAGGAACCGTCATAGAAGAGGAACACAACTAGGACCTGGTTCGTTGGTGTGTCCTGACAGAAGTACAAAGTCCACTATCCAGTTGGAACGCAACTGCCCAGAAGTGGCTGTGCAGACAGTACAGCAGTCACTTCTCATTGGAAAGAAGCGTACACCAAGAGTTGACATCACTATCCATTGTGCTATCTTTTGTGATAAAACAACCTGGTGCAAGACACACCATTCTTTGTGCATTCAGTGATATTCTCTCAAGACACAAAAGTATTTCATCCGGCATTGAAGTCACTGGTGTGTCAAGAACAAGAAGACAACTCCACTAAGGATCAGTTTCTAAATAAGTTTATGTACATCCGTAGTTGAGTTGTAATCTTGTTATTTGTTCGTCATTGTAATTCCTAGTTTGCTTTCTTAGAAGCGCCGTCTTAGGAACAAACCAAATTCGTAAACTTCTAAGTTTATGTTGTGACTAGGGATAGTCATAAGTTTAAATCCTTTGTAACTAGGAGAGTTATAGAGTGGCTTGTGGTGGTTGCATCACAAGTTAGTTTGAAGTCTTTGCAATAGGATTTTTGCAAAGTGGCTTGTAATAGGTAGATTACAAGTTAGTAGAGTTAAAAGCCCCAAGAGTAGGTCGTGGTTTTTTGATCCCCTTGTGTGTGATTTTTCCACGTAGAAAATCTCTTGCCTTCTTTACATTCAGTCTATACTGCATTCTACGTATCATCTCATAGAGAACCAGGTACTCTATAGTTTGGTGGACTCACATAAACTAACAACTTGGTAATTCATATGTGAAAATAATGACAACTTTGTAATTATAAGCATACATTTTATCAACTTTGAATTGAGATATGCCCTCCAAAATAATATTATTCACTTTTAATGAACAATTTTATAAAATCAAAGCCAGAATAAAATTTTGTACTTGATCAGTACGAGCTATATTAAATCCCTGTCTTAACACTTCATGCAATTAGTTGTTCTCATAATTAATCGCCTATGTGACGGAGTCATGGAGTAATATATTTTATCTGGCTGCGCCATATTAATTACTTCAATAAAGCTCAATGAAAGCAAGGTGGAGTTGTCACGTTTATGATTTCAAATAGGGGTGAACATAAGTCGGGTTGGTTCGGGTTTTGTAATTAGTAAATCAAACCAATTGTATCGGAATATTAAATTTAAAGACCAAACCAAACCAATAAAATTCGGGTTTTTCAATCTCGATTTTTCTCGGATTTTCTGGTTATTCGGTTTTTTCGGGGGGTTTTTCAGGTAAAATCTTCGTAGCACAAAACATATAACTTGTGCTCAAAATATTTCTTTAATCCTAGTAAGATACAACTATATAAGTTTTCAAGAAAATAATACAAAATATGAGATGAGTCATGGCATTATCCTAAAATATTCAAAAATAAAGACAATAAAATTATGTAATATAAATATTTCTAATTAAAAATCCATAATAAAATTAAATATAATCTAAAAGTACTAAGTCATGCTAAAATAAGTAGACTAATAAGGGAGTATTAATTACATGAAAACGCTAAAGAAAAAATAAAAATAGGTTATGCATTTTTATCTAAATCATTGCAAAATAAAAGATAGATATTCAATACATTGTCGTTCCTAGTATTGAATTGAATGTCTTTTGTTAGCATTAGTATTGATTTGATTTTGGTTTGAGCTTTTGTTAGCATTATTTAAGTTACTAATATTAATGGCTATAAAACTTATTGGAATATTCAAAAGTTCTAAGTCCAATATTGAAATAATAATACCTTAAAAGATAAAATTATGAAAGAGTTTAAGAAATATTTATAAATTACATCACAATAAGTATATTTATATATTAAATATATCTAAAATTTCTGTATATGTAATGTCGGGTTGGTTTGGTTTCGGTTTGACTTTCTTTAGTTAAAACTAAACCAAACCAATTATGGTCCGGGTTTTTTTCCAACACCAAACCAAATCAAACCAAACCATAATCGGGTTTTTTTTTCCGCTTTGACTCGGATTATCGGGTTGGTGCGGTTTGTCGGTTTCCTTTATATACCCCTACTTTCAAGTTTCAACACGCTCAATTTCGTAGACGATCTTCCCTAGCATTTAGCAGTGAACCAAACTCCACATTTTTATTTAATTCAATTGTGTTTAGGAAGGATAGGCAGGGGTAAGGCTGCATATATTACATCCTCCTCAGATCTTATTTGTGAAAATTCACTAGATTGTTATTGTTGTGATTTAGGAAGGACACAAACAGTAGACGACACCTTGATCGCGTCTTACCTCTTTGGTAGCTGTAAATCTAATTGAAAAACGCGTTAAGCCATCCTCAAATTTTACCAGTATTTATCCTAATAAACCTACTAATCGTAAAACAAAAATGTCTGTACAAAATAGTCTGAATATAATTGGAAATCTCGTTTGCCCGACCTCAAACTTACAAAATTTGACCTATAGGCATTAGTCCCATCGAAAATGAGCAAGATGAGAAAATAAAAATATCTGCAGTAAATTTACAACGATGAATGACTCAAGAAATGACAATCAGTAATTTGTTTGCTTTTTGACCGCTGATATTTGATTACTGGAAATCTGTTTTGTGCTTATCCTTTATTATATGCAATTGACAAACCATCCAAATTATGTCCGTTTCATCGTCGTGATTAACATATTAGTAAAATAAAATAATTCAACAAGGGGTATATTATTTTTCAGTACTTATATCTGTAACAACTCGGTCGACCGTTTTGAGAATTAGCGTCCCGTTCGGCGTCATAAGGTCTCAAGCAACTTCATATTATGTGTTATGACATGCGTGTGTGGTCGAGTTCGATTTTCGGATGATTCGGGGTCAATCTGGAAGAAGGATTCTTGTTTTAGAACCTTAAGCGGTAAGAGTTGACCGGAGTTTTGACTTTTGTGTAGAAGACTCCAAAATGGCGTTTTGATAATTCCAACGGCTTCGTATGGTGATTTTGGACTTAGCGTGCGTCCGGATTTGGCATTGGAGGTCCGTAGGGTAAATTGAAGCATTTCGGTGAAAATTGGAAAGTTGAAGTTTTGGAAGGTTGAGAGGTTTGACTGAGAGTTGACTTTGGTGATATCGGGGTCGGACTGCAATTCCGAGAGTTGGATTAGCTCTGTTATGTTATTCGGGACTTGCATGCAAAATTTGACGTCATTCCGGGCTGATTTGATATGATTCGACGCGAGTTGTAGAAGTTAAAAGTTCATACGTTCATTAAGTTCAATTTGAGTTTTGATTCGTAATTTCGAAGTTATTTGATGTGATTTGAGGCCTCGAGTAGGTTCGTGTTGTGTTACGGGACTTGTTGGTATGTTCGGACGAGGTCCCTAGTGGCTTGGGTGAGTTTCAGATAGGTTCAGGTTGTGTTGCGCTAGTATTTTTTATGCTTCGGCATCGTTTCTTCAAGCATAAATGGTTTCACATTAAGCAAATGAGCTCCAAATTCAGTTTTAATTAAATCATTAGATCCGTATCATAATTACAACGCC